CCAGGGCAGGACCACGTATCTACCTAAGGTCTGTGCAGGGCCATGGGGTGCCACAATTCAGTCACAATAATACACTTGTCTCCTTTGAAACGTCACCGCAGGCTTGTCGGAGGGTTAGCTTCGGAAAATGTTCGCTGGGCTGAGTCTGTGGAAAACTTCCGAGAGCAGGAGAAGACTTTGTGTGGAGATGTCCTGCTGATTTCAGCCTTTGTTTCGTATGTTGGCTATTTCACTAAGAAATACAGGACGGAGCTGATGGACAAGTACTGGATACCATACTTAAATGAGTTGAAGGTAAATCAGTCTAGCACAGATATAAAGCCCATGGCGTTTGTTTCATGCCACTGGGAAAAGCAGTGTACGCTGAGCATAGGGCTAGTATACAGTTTCTCACCCCCTTACGTTGTATTTGTGAAGATCCCACAAGGAGCTGTGATTTAGCCTGTGCCCGTGGCACCCTCTGATGGACTTGGGTACCGTGGGAATGCATTACCATGCATTTTAAAATGGACTCCAGCTGACATGGGGCACAGCTGCCTTACCTCAGAATGGTCTTGGTGTTTTAAAGGTTTCAGAGTAGCAACCGTGTTAGTTTGTATCCGCAAAAAAAGCAGGAGGACTTGTGGCACCTTAGAGACTAACACATTTATTAGAGCATGAGCTTTCGTGGGCCTTTACCTTGTTAAATAGTTTAGTGCTCGGTAGTTTGAGATGAGCTAGAGAGAGTCTCACCTGCAACCCTAGATCAGCAGGTGCTTCAGAGATACCATTTGTGTTGCAGGTGCCAATTCCTGTTACACCAGGGTTGGATCCTTTGAGTCTTCTGACTGATGATGCGGATATCGCTACTTGGAATAACCAAGGGCTGCCCAGTGACCGCATGTCTACAGAAAATGCCACGATTCTGTGCAACACAGAGCGCTGGCCTCTCATTGTGGATGCCCAGTTACAAGGGGTCAAATGGATTAAAAACAAATATGGAGAAGAGCTGAAAGCAATCAGACTGGGACAGAGAAGGTTTGTTTGGGCACGCTGGTTCTTTACACAGCTGTCTAATCATTTGCCCTCTCAATACTCTGCAGAGCTCCGCTGCCGGAAAGACATGCCTTAACGATAAGACCAAGCAGGCAGCGCCCGGTCCAGCAGAACCCTCTCCTGTGACCTTATTTGTGCAAGGAGACCCCTGACTGGGTTTATTCTGAGAATCTTCAGTGCTTGTTTTATATATCAATTACTATCCTTTGTGCCATGTCCTCTGCAGAGCCTCACAGAGAGCACGTGGAGGCATGGGTCTCTGCTGTTCCACCATTCCAGAACCAAGGGTACCCTTGCCCCCACCCCCTCACTTCCTGAGCAGATGTGGAACCCAGTCTCCTCTCTGCTCCGGGATCTGAGCCTCGCCACAGATCTTCTCCCATCCTGCAGGAGGGAGGGGGGGTTGGCCCGTTGGCCTGTGTCTCAAGACGCCAGGTCCTCAGAGCACTTGGAGCACTCTGGATAGCAAGAGAAAGAAGTGTAAGGAAAACCAGGCCTCCAGTGCACTGACTGCCGGCTATGCCCCTGGCTGGCTATGTCCTGGAGCAGACAGCAGCCCTGGGCCATATGGGCTAGAGATAAGGGGCTGTTCAGATCTGAGCTGCTCAGTCCTTTGTCAGACCCTGTGCATCTGACCTCCCTGGTCAACGTAGTCTGAATGATTCATTGGATCCTGAGTCTGCCCGTGATGGGTCCCTTTGGATCCTCTATTTGAACAGGGCCTCTGGTTTCTTCAGCATGCATTGCTCTGTAGAGTTCTGCAGAGAACCGGGATTACCTTGGCAAGCCACCTTGGTGTGTGAGGGTCTGAAGGGTGCTGGTGCTCCTCTCTCTTCGCTTAGAGCTTTCTGGGGCCATGTTTGCATGGCTTAGGCTCTTCTCAAATGTGCCGCAGCTATCTGGATATCATTGAGCAAGCTATTTCAGATGGACACCCCCTGCTCATTGAGAACATCGGCGAGACGGTGGAGCCTGTGCTGGACCCTTTGCTAGGCAGGAACACCATCAAAAAGGGAAAGTAAGTGTATTCTCACTCCTCTTGACAAAGGAATTGGCACTTCAATCATAGAATCAGAGGGTTAGTTAGGACCGCAAGCATCATCAAGTGTGACCCCCTGCCAAGATGCAGCATTTGCTGTGTCTAAACCATCCAAGACAGATGGTTAGCAAGCCTCTTTGAAAATCCTCTGCTCTGAGCAGGTCAATTTTCAACCCACTGAAATGTGTTGGCAGATTGGGACCAGACCTTTCTGGGCAGAGATGTGACTCTCTGACCAGTTTTCCCTCCCTTTTTAACAACCCTTTCCTTGGGAGGATTTTCACTGTCCCTCTTATTGTGTTTTACCACAAACGCAAATTTTCTGGGCCACTGAGTGATATTTGGTTAAAGATTTTAGAGCAGAAGCCTTCACAGGTGCTTGGGCTGCACAATAAAGTGAAATAAACAACAAGATTTTTTTTGTTTTACACTAAATGGCAGATGCAGGTACATCCCCAGCAGTGGGGCTTTCCTTGAGAACTACCCCAGTGACCGGCCTCCTGGTCCCTTCTCCCACTCATGCTTCTTTGCCCCTCTCAAGTCCCTTCTCCAGGCTTGTCCATCACTCCATTCAACGCTCTCTGAAAACTCCCTCCTGCTGTCTGATGGGTGGGGGGGGGCAGTTAATAATTATTGACTAAGGGGGCTGTCTTAGCACCTGGTCCAAAACCCACTGACACCCGCAGGAATTTTCCCATTGACCTCAGTCACAGCCTGACTGAGTCACTGTTTGATGGGATTACTGTACCCTGGCCCTATCAGTTTCCAGCCCGCTCTTTGCTGGACTTTGTCTGAATGGAGACTATCAGGCTGGCATTTGCAAAGGAGTCTCAGGGAGCTAAATGCTCAAACCTAGCTACAGTCCAACAGGAGTTGAGCACCTAACTCCCTCCAGCTGCTGGGACAATCCTAGTCCATCCTCTGCTGCAGAGCTGTGTATTTGTATGTGCTCCAGTAAAGTGGGGCTCAAAGTAACAAATCTCTCATAACTAGCAGTTAGGGCATTAGTAGGAGGGGTAGTGTCTGTGTTGGTTTGTTTAATGCCAAATGGTTTAGCACTTACCAAAAGTCACTTGTTTAATTAACTAAACAGATACATTAAGATAGGCGATAAAGAAGTGGAATACCATCCAGACTTCCGTTTGATTCTGCACACCAAATACTTTAACCCCCATTACAAGCCAGAGATGCAGGCTCAGTGCACTTTAATTAACTTCCTGGTAACCAGAGATGGACTGGAGGATCAGCTGTTGGCGGCAGTAGTTGCAAAAGAGAGACCAGATCTAGAGCAACTGAAGGTATCGATGCTATTACTAGAGAGAAGGTAGCATGGTAGAGCCTGCTGTAGCTTTACTTACAAACAGCGAAACACATGCTATTCCAGCCAGACCTACACTGTTCACAGAAAACTGATTGAGCCCTAATTAGGACTCACTGTCATCTATGCTGGGTACTTTCTCCAGGAAATCTCCAGTGCCAATAAAAGTGATAATATTCTGATATATTTGCTCCTTAAATTATAAATATTGGTGTGGGTCAGTCACAGCTATAACATGTGTAACAGTGATCGATAGACAACACATGATCTCCTAAAAATTATATCTAATAACTCTACCCCTTTGGAAAAAAGGAAGCACCATCAGGTCCATTTAACCTCAGCAATCCACAGTAGATGGTGGGGTACAATCATTTTTATTTTGATGCATTAAACTGACATCACTCTGGAGTTGCAACCCCGCCATAACGGGACAGGAGTGTCATTTCCCTGTCTGGTTCTCTATTAGGGTGACCAGATGTCCCGATTTTATAGGGACAATCCCGATATTTGGGGCTTTTTCTTATATGGGCACCTATTACCCCCCACACTCTGTCCCAATTTTTCATATTTGCTGTCTGGTCACCCTATTCTCTATGAAGGTTAGGATGCGTTCGAGTGTTATGATTTAAATATGAAGGGCCTGCCTCTCCCTTGTATGGCACTGTTACGATAGCGTGTCAGTGGCATTCTCATGTCATGATGCAGTTAGCAGGTCCAGCTAATATATTCTAAACAAAAGTGTAGAGTACGCTCTGAGAGAAAGGGTAGATGAGGTAATATCTTTTACCTTTTCCTATCCTAGGACCAACATGACTACAGCAACATTGTAAACACAGAATACATTCAGGCATTTCTTCAGTGACTTATACAGCTCATAACTACATTATAAACTAAACTGATATGCAAAAGAACATAAAACCAGCAATAGCCCCTGCTAACTGGTGCATTATTTCATTGGGCCTGTCAAGGGTCCCTAGTTTAAATCACTCCAAACTGATGCTATGAAAGCTTTAGTTGTAAATCCCTTGCTAATTAATTTTCCTCTTTTGTACATTGATGCTGTAGGCAAATCTCACAAAGAGTCAAAATGAATTTAAGATTTTCTTGAAAGAGCTGGAAGATTCTTTGCTTGCCCGCCTCTCTGCTGCATCAGGAAACTTCCTGGGAGACACTGCATTGGTGGAGAACCTAGAGACAACAAAGCGAACAGCCACGGAAATTGAGGAAAAAGTAAGAAAGCTGCCCCAAGACTCCTGGGGGTTACACTGTGGAACCAGTAGAGTTTCTTTTAGAAAATGAATTTGGTGTCCAACTCTGTCAAAGCAGGGGATAGGACTGGGAGACCCATTGTTTTCGAGGACATGCAAAGCTGCTGTAATAACATTGTTTGTTTTTAAGGTGAGAGAAGCTAAAATTACAGAAATTAAAATTAATGAAGCTAGAGAAAACTACAGGCCAGCTGCAGAAAGGGCATCCTTGTTGTACTTTATACTGAATGACCTCAACAAAATTGACCCCATCTACCAGTTCTCATTAAAGGTAACTAACAAATATGGGGCAGACAGTAATATGTCACTGAATAGATTTTCAAAGAATTCACAAGGGTCATTGTTGCTACAATTCTGAGTGTTTTATTGAAAACAACAATCGAGGTACCCATCTCTAACCATTTCTGGCTAGGCATTCAACGTAGTCTTTGAGAAGGCCATCCAGCGAACTCTTCCAGCTGACGACGTGAAGCAGCGGGTGATAAACCTAACAGATGAGATCACCTACTCGGTCTTTGTGTACACTGCACGGGGACTCTTTGAGAGAGACAAACTCATTTTCATGGCCCAAGTTGCCTTTCAGGTAATATGGATAAACACACTGGACTCCAGTTAAAATTACTAGCTAATACAACTTTTCAGATATGTAATACACGGTGGTCTCTTATTCCTGGGGCAAAGCATGTGTCCCCCGCATATTAGCCTTAATTATTATTCATATAATTTTGTCATGCAAACATTTATGTCAGAGCTGCAGGGAAAAAACTTATAGTCAGAGAAGTGTCATGGCCTGTGGGGAGGGGTTTTGGAGTGTGAGCCCACCTGCCCTGGCAGTTCCTGTCCCACAGGGCTGGGTCCAGCTCCTCACTCTGGGCGTTGTGACCCCTTGTGCTACGTCACCACACCAATCAAACTTGGCCCATCCGCCCCTCCATCTCCAGCTATGGAAGGGTGGAGATACTAAACTCCCGTGGCACTCTGACCACATGGCCTAGCTCTCCACTTCCAGAGCAGAGAGACAGGCCCGCAAGAGCCATCATTGCAAGGGTCACAGACTTTATTAAAATTCCAATTGCCATGAACACTGTGAGCTCCATGCCAAAATCGTAGCCTTAATAATAATCTTCTAGATGGTGTGTAAATGCACCCTGTTTTACAATCATGGCTCAGTCAGACATGCTCTCACCCAAAGAATTTACATCTTAAAGTTTGAGCCAAAATCCACTGAAGTCAGTGGAAGATTCCCCCAGGCTTCAGTGGACTTTGGTTCAGGCCCTAAGGCCTGTATCCTCTAGGATGCCTGAGAATGTGTTCAACTGCATTGAACCCAGGGCCCCAGTTCTACCAACACTTGGTGAGAGCAGAAGGGACTGTTATGATTGAGCCATAGTGATTCCTGCATCAAGCCCTTGTGTGGCACTCGGGTCCCACTGAAGAGAATGGCAAAATGCCTACTGACTTCAGTGGGGCCCGGGTTTCATCTCAAGGGAATGCTCAATAGTGGAGTAATCCCATTGCTCTCCAGAGAGCTAGTCAGGTAAGTGAGCGCTGAGTCCTGTAGTCAGCATGGGCAGGATTGGGCCTGCACATGTGGGGAGGGGCAGAGTTGAGATGCTGTGGGAGAACACAAGGTAGCAACTGTTCCTGGGAGAAGTGAGTTGGAGATGGGGAGAGTGCTTGGTGGGCTGCTCCAAGTGTGTGTGAGGGTGAAGCAAAGAGGAGGAGACTGGGGCAGGTGGGAGGGGGCTGTTCTGGTCAGAGCAACAGGAAAGGGGTGACCCTTATGGCTGCACTGGGTAGAATAGCGGGGCAGAAGCAGGAAGGTGACAGACCCAGCCTGGCAGTAATGATCCCAATGGAATGCTAGTGCAGACAAAGCCACAGGGGTTCCTCCCTTCATTGTGGGCCCATCATTGGTCCCGGTGGGCTTGTCTTGGTGGGCAAAAGCCTTCTCCAGTGCTGCTGCTGTTATGCATTTTGTAACATTTACAGTGGCATCGCACCGAGAGGCCAGACAGGTCCCTGCCCCATTGTGCGAGACTCTGTACAAACATAGTAAACATGGCCCTGCCCCCAAAGAGTTCCAACGCCAGAGCCTGAGGGGTCCAGCCCATTCCTCCGGGAGCCCGTGTGTCTGTACCACTTCTGCAATGTCTATTTTCCCAGCACGTGTGAGCATAGGGCTTGTGACACAGAGCAGTTCAGCTGTTCAGAAATGGGTTATGTAACCTTGTGCATTGTAATCTCTGCTTTCTCATCAGGTTTTGTTAATGAAGAAAGAAGTGAACCCGGTTGAACTGGACTTTCTTTTGCGCTTTCCGTTCAAGGCTGGACTGACGTCCCCCGTGGATTTCTTACAATCTCAAGGATGGGGAGGAATTAAGGTGTGTCTGAAGAATGTAACACTGTACAAATTCTTCTGTTGTAAACACTACATAGAATAGCCTAAGACGTTGCACCATGGAAGTCCGTAAACCAGGCCACACAATTGTGAGGCCAGTAATATGCAGGTTGAAACAGGAGACAGGATAAGTTTGATAATGCTGGAAATTATTGGTTAAACTAACACCCTTGGGAGTTGTAGCTCTTAAAAATGCTCAAAAACAGTCACGTTATTGGAATATTTATCTAAAAATAATGTTGATTAGCTGATTATTTCATTAGAGGTTTTCTAATCACCAAAGTAGCCACCATAGCAGAAGGTGGCATGAGAAGCAGTCAGTTATGCAGCACTGTGTAATCCAGCATCACTTGGAAAGGCATCTTCAGGTTGGTATCATTTTAAAGCTAAGAAGCCAGGCTTAGAGGTGTTACTGAGCAGCGGCTAACGTCCCTTTTGTTTGTGAAAGTATCAGCGTTAAAATCAACATCGTTCATGGTTATTTGCCTGGCACCTGAGTTACGGATGTTGCCCAGTAGATACACACAGCCACGCAGTAGCTCTCCGCTGCACTGTATGCCTTTGCTCCAGACAGGGACCTCCCATTGGCTTCAGTGGGCACGTGCTGTAGAGAGCCAGTGTCACTCCTAGAGAGTAAGGCAAGTCAGAGTCAGCAAATGGAATAAGATCTAGAGGGAGAATAGGACGGTGTTAAAAAATACTGAGCCTGATGTTGAGAGTTTTAAAAAACACAAATATAATCCTTCCCTTTCTTGTGCCTACGCTGCCTCCCTGGCTGGGCCAGCACCACCAACTGTGCGCTTAGACACCTCTCTTCTATGCTTCAGACATGTCTATCTCTTAAACATTTCTCCTGCACATGCCACTATCAGCTGTCTCCAAAGATGGTCTCTGGCTAGAAGGAAGGTGACCATGGATCACCATTATCAAGCAGACCTGTCGTGTGCCTCTCATTTCTTGCATAATTGCATAGCCTAAACTGTTAGCATATTTTGGGTGCATCACGGAATCTCCACCTGCTCCATAAGAACCCCCAAGCCCCCACAACAGGAATCCAATGCTAGCCACATCTTACCCTCATTTTCTCAGGTGGCAGCAAATATCTGGATTATATCTGTGTTCCAGGGAGTATCTGAGTATTTTTATACTGAAAGCTCACAGCCTAGGTGTGATGCCACAGAAGGCTGTAGCCAGTGATTTTACACTTCATCACTTAAATTAACTTTAAATAAAAATAAAAGGCTACCAGGTGCTGGGCTAGAGCGTGTAACTGGCTACAGTTTGTAAGAAACACACAGCACTTGAGTCTGCTGTCAGCCACACCTGTGAAAAGCCACAATGTCTCCAGCAAGCCCATCCCACTGGGGTACTAGAACACAGAAGCAGCTGGCCCTTTTCTCATATATTTGAAGGTCCTCTCAGATATGGATGAGTTCAAGAATTTGGACAGCGATATTGAAGGTTCGGCAAAGCGATGGAAAAAATTTGTTGAGTCGGAGGCACCGGAGAAGGAAGTGTTCCCGAAGGAGTGGAAGAATAAATTAGCTCTGCAGAAGCTGTGTATGATGAGATGCATGAGGCCAGACAGAATGACCTATGCAGTCAGGTATTCTCTCCTGATCCTGCAGGGCCCTGTGCTGTCAAGAAGGGTCTTGGCATGCCTACACTGAATGATTCTGGAGAGGCATTTCATGCTGGTGCAGGAGAAATGGGACATGATGTAGCATGCAGCTGTGCAGTAACTGCACCTGCCTGCAGCATGGGGCTGAGGCACAGAGCTGACGGCATGGGGCCTGTCGCCTGGTAATAGGATTCCAAAATGGCGTTTCAAAAAGGGGGTTCGTGGTTGTTAGTGCACTTGTGAAGAGCCAGCGTGTCCTGCGTATCGCCTCCTGTGGGACATGTGCCAAGAGACATCCAGCTTCAGGCACCCAGGCCACACCAGCGCCCTGTGGTGATCCTGAACATGTGGCACCAAGGCTACAAAAGAGCCATGTACCCCAACACCTCAGCTTCATCCTTTCTGCAGCCAGCTCTACTGGCAGAGACCTCCTCTATGCCCACTGCAATTGCTAGGGCTTCCTAGCCCACCCCGTGTGTATCTAGAGCAGACCCTTGCTGCAGGTGTTGTTCAACTAGAACTCCTCAAACACTCTCCTGGAGTGAAGCTGCCTGTTTGTCCCAGGCTCCCTGTCATCTCCGCCCTGGCAGAAGGCAATGCTGATGGGGCACGGAAGGGAGGTATAAAGCCGTTGGAGGTGCGGAGCTATGGTGGGGATGGGAACACTCTTGCCTGTGCAAGTGTAACGCTGACAGACCCTGGTCATCGGCGGGTGGCATCGAACCTGGGGCCTCTGGATCTTAGTGCACGAGCCTCTACAGCATGAGCTAAAAGCCAGCTGGCTGTTCGCGAAGGCGGCAGAGCAGACTCATTCATCTCTCTCTAAGTGGTCTTGGTGCCACTAGATGGGACAGACCACCATACCCAGGAGGTGTGTGGGTTACACAAGCTACAGGTTCAAGGTGACAATGGTGTAGATCTGGCCCAGATACTTTCCTTAGAAAGCTCCAGGCATGTTGTGTAATCCAGTTTTTCTGTTATCAGCTCTTCTCTGGGATTTCCTTGCTCAGATTAAATTTTTGTGCATTATTTTGGTTTGCAGCTCTACTCCCTGCCCTTAACACCTCCTGAGCCTTTGTAGGAATATTTTCAGTTTTCATACAGAACTTAAAGCCTATGCCCCAATCTGCCTTCGAGGCTAACTGTAGAAACACATGGCCTAGCCCTGCAAGTTATTTGTAATAAATCGGATAAAAAGTCTGGGACTAATTTTGCATCAACTTCTTTTTCACAGAAACTTTGTGGAAGAGAAAATGGGAAGTAAGTTTGTAGAAGGCAGAAGTATTGAATTTTCTAAATCGTATGAAGAGAGCAGCCCATCCACTGCAATATTCTTTATCCTCTCTCCAGGGGTTGACCCACTGAAAGACGTAGAGGCACTGGGTAAGTCAAGAGTCCTCTTCACTAACAGTAGGGTCTGTGGCATGGTAGTCATGGAAGATGTTATCAATAAAGAGCAGACATTGCATAGGCATGCAATTTTCAGATTTATTTTTTTTAATTTTAATGTATTCCTGTGGATTTCTCCCCCCCTCCCCAGGAAGAAAGCTAGGCTTTACCATTGACAATGGAAAAATCCATAATGTGTCTCTAGGGCAAGGACAGGAAGTTGTGGCAGAAAATGCTCTGGATGTAGCTGCTATTGAAGGACACTGGGTCATTCTTCAGGTAGTAGAAGCACCATTGCATTGTTGGTTCTCTGGTGTACCTTTGTTGTTTCTATAGTAATCTAATAGTATTCAGAGCAGCCCATTATACATTCAGAAATTCTCAATGTCAGTGCAAAGAGTTCTACATAACGCACATGTTGTTCAAAATTCCTGCCTCTCCTCTCAAGGTGAACTCCACTTTCCTAAATACATTACCTCGCATTTGTCTGTATTGAATGCCTTTAGCTATCATGTTGTCCAACTTCCTGGTTGCTTAGATTCTGGAGTACATCACCTTTCTACCTCATCACCTGCCACCCAGCATGATTTGCTGCATCTGATCTTTAACTCCCATGGGCCAGCAGAAGCTAAGACTACCGTGGAGGTAGACAGTGCATTCAGGACCCAGGAGAATGGCTTAGTGCTGGGTGAAGCATGTACTGTATATCATTTAGTAAAGGACTTCTAATGTTTCAGTGAAGAACACTGTTGAATACACCATCACTTGGGAAGCTTTAAACCAAGGCTTGATTTCTTTCTAAAGAGGTGCTCTTCATCAGTGGTTCTCAACCAGGGGTATACATATCCCTGGGGATACTCAGAGGTCTTCCAGAGGTACATCTACTCATCTAGATATTTGTCTAGTTTTACAACAGGCTACACAAAAAGCCCTAGCAAAGTCAGTACAAACTGAAATTTCATATAGACAATGACTTGTGTATACTGTTCTGTGTACTGTATACTGAAATTAAGTACAATATTTATATTCCAGTTGATTTATTTTATAATTATATGGTAAAAAGGAGAAAATAAGCAATTTTTCAATAATAGTGTGCTGTGACACTTGTATTTTTGTAAGCAAGTAGTTTTTAAGTAAGGTGAGACTTGGGCTACACTAGACAAATCAGATTCCTGAAATGGGAACAGTAGTCTGGAAAGGTTGAGAGCCACTGCTCTACATCAACCAGAAGTTGTGGCCTATGTTATGCGGGAGGACAGACTGGATGCTGCTAATGGTCTCTGCTGGCCTTCCAGTCTTTTAATCCAAATGTTAAAAGATGCTGATGGGTACAAATCCTAGGACACTGACTACAGTGTTTGGTGGGCAGCTTCTACTGACCTGCATCAAATCTAAACAGGTGACTAAGTCACCAGAGGAAGCACGGGGCCTTGTCAGTGCATCACGTCCCAGTGAAACAACAGTGAACCACGTGGGCCGCTAGGCCTAAGAGGTGTAAAATAGCATCATTGGCTCCATCACAGCACTTCTCACCTAGCCCTGTGAGGGACTTCGGCTGTATGGGATTGAAATTTGGGAGCAAGAAGTGAAGTCAAATTGTGTCTGTTGCAGAATATCCACCTGGTCGCAAAGTGGCTGGGCACACTGGATAAGAAGGTTGAGAGGTACAGCATTGGCAGCCACCAGGATTACAGAGTGTTTATGAGTGCTGAACCTGCTGCCACGCCAGATGCTCATATTATTCCTCAAGGACTCTTGGAAAATGCCATTAAAATTACCAATGAGCCCCCGACTGGCATGTATGCTAACTTGCACAAAGCACTGGATCTCTTTACTCAGGTATTCAGATGACAGGGTTGATTATTTTTTTAAGCTGGTTGGGTTTGTTTTGTTGTTGTTGTTGTATACTTTTTTCTGCAGTCACAGCAATTTATTAGCAGTTGTAAGGCTGCTCTCTTTTTTGGCTTTTCTCCCCAGGAGAGTGAGTGCAGCCTGCCTAGGAAACGGATTTCTTAGCATTTAGATTCATCGTTTACCCCTAAGTCATCTAGTCTGATCCCTCTTAGCTCTGTTCTTTTCAGTGCACTAATTCATACTGATGCCCTTCATAAAGGCATTTTCACCACATTGGCGTTAATTACAGGGCTTTTTCAAAGTTTTTGTATGCTTTCTGCATTGTAGTGGAAAAGGTACCCTTGTGATGTCCGGCTATTCCTATCAGTGTTCCCATAACATAAGATTTCACTAGGGACAGCGCAAATTCGTAATCCTTACAGGCCTGTTCAGCAATATTTAAATAAATAAATGTAAAACTGCTAGTGATGGGGATGTTAAGAGGTGAGGTCATGCCAAGCCTGTCTGATTACAGAAGCACTCTACCGCAGCTGTGTGTTTTGACTGGCTGCAAGTTTCTATTTGTAGGCTAATATAAGCAGAGGCTAATATACCATAGTCTGTCATTGCAAGAGTCATTTCTTCTCTGCCTGTAAATAAAGGAAAATTCCAGCATGCTCTGGTGTCTACCCTTAGAATGTTCCACTGCCAGTTCCAGGGACCCGCTCCAGAACTGGTAGAATCTTTCCAACGGGTGAAGCCTTTTAAGGGCCCTACTGCCCTTGGCCCTCAAAGACACAGGTACTAAGAGCAGGGAAGGGCCCTTTGCCACAGATGAGGTCTCAAATTTATTAACAGAGTGCAGCATTCTTGTTGAGTGTTTTTGGATTTTACAGGTGTTTCGCTTACTGGTGTTCTCCAAACCTATCTGAATTGGTTTCACACTACATGATACAGTGTAAGCTAGTACTTGCTAGCAGAGCTGAGGAATAACTAGGTAACTTGGACTTGCTTAGAAGAAAACATGGCAGGGTTTATACTTATGCTTTTTTACTACATCTGAGCATTGTTGGGCCTGGTGCAAAATATGATTCTAGAACTTTACACTGAGCTTCTGAAATGAAGAATTGTAGGTCACCATGGTGTGCATAAGTATCACCGGTGACTTCAGAGACAATACAGATCATACAGTTCTAGGAAGAAGCCTGATCAAGATACACCTCTACTGCCTGCTTCTGACGCACCACAGCTACCCTTTGACAGAGCCATGTGACCAGTAGCTGTAGTCGCAATTACTCTTATTGATACTTTGGGTTATTTTTAACTCAGGGGTAGAGTGCCAGAGTTTAAAACGAGCAGGCAGTTAGAATTAAGAGGTCATTTCTCATCAGATTATAAACACATCATAGTAAGGTATGTGGCCTAGGCCAGGCGTTTCCGTCTCACACGTTCTAATGTACTATGAGTAAATTCTGTGCAAGCAGCAATGAATGTTGCTGAGACTACACGTAAGCTATTGGGAACATGCTTAAGCTGAGACCCCTACATGCACTTTGTGGTAAAGAAGGTTCAGCTCCGTTTTTGCTGGCGAGTTGTGAGAAGTTGTTTTTTATATTCAGACACCCATTGGGGCCATTTCCTCTTCTGCACACAAGCACCCTCTTTTCCTCTTTCTTCTGCTTTAGGATACTTTAGAGATGTGCACCAAAGAAATTGAATTCAAGTGCATCTTGTTTGCTCTCTGTTACTTTCATGCGGTGGTAGCTGAAAGGCGTAAGTTTGGTGCGCAGGGCTGGAATAGGTCTTATCCTTTCAACAACGGAGACCTGACTATATCCATCAACGTGCTGTATAATTACCTGGAGGCTAATGTCAAGGTTAGAACATGCTTGTTTAACATCAGCAAGTCAGAGTAATTCTTCCCAGGTTACAAAAAGCAGCACTACAGGGGAAAGGCAGGACGCTGCTGTTAGACCTCCCCTTCTTGGCCCCCTCCCAGCCTCCTTCCTGGGTGCGGGGAGTATTGTGGAAGCACAGGGCTCCAACAGCCTTTGGACTGAAGAAGGCTCTGCCGGGAGCTCCACAGGTTTGGGGGAGGATCCCTCTGCTGCCGCCCCACTACCGAACAGCAACTGGCTGATGCGTGAGCTGTGTGTCCCTGGGCTGGGGCATAGCAAAACCAGGGGAACCTTTAAAGGCAAACTGCAACTCACCTTCAGTGAGTAGTGTGAGGCAGCCTTTGTCTGAAAACAGAGCTCTAACGTGGTCCTAAGCCTGCAGGTGCGGTGTGCTGGGTTGGCAGCAGGCTGTGAGCGAATCCAGCGAGGGGCCCTATACGGGTGGAAGATGGACATTTAGCAAATCAGCTGAGGCAGCAGCAGGGTGTGCTCAGATTGTCCAGCCCTCTTGCCTTTCAGTGTTTTCATTTGAAATGTGAGAACATCCAGCTGGAAGGCAAAGTCTCCCCCAGCAGTGAAACCACAGGTCCCAAGCCAAGGGAGGAGCACGCTCCTTGCTCCAGGCCTTATGGAAGTGGCAAAAGCTTAATTAAATTCAGCAGGGATGAAAAGAGACATGATCCAGAGGAAAGACTCATCTGCCACTCTGGGGGCTGTCTTCATGCTGGGGAGGGGTGAAATCCCCCGTGATCACGGTCAAAAGGGTGATGGGCGCCATGCTGCTCTTCCCCCCTCCTACCCCCCCGCCCCGATGTTGATGCTGAGCTGCTCACGTGTGATTGACTCCAAGGGCTTGCTCTTGCATGGTGAGGGCACACCAAAGCTAACTTGACATGTGACGCTTCCCGCTGCTGTCTGGGACTTTCAGAACATGCCTTTTATAGAAATCACTTTGCACTGACTCAGCATCTCGTCTAGGTTCCATGGGATGATCTTCGCTATCTCTTTGGTGAAATTATGTATGGGGGACACATCACAGATGACTGGGATCGCAGGTTGTGTAGAACTTACCTGTCAGAATACATCCGCGTGGAGATGCTGGAGGGAGAAATGACCTTGGCTCCAGGGTTTTTAGTTCCACCCAACTTGGATTACAAGGTGAGGAAAGGCTCTTCTCTTCTATGAGAGCTCCACAGTTCACTGCAGCTGTCAAAAGGCTGTGGCTCTCTTGGGGATGTATGTGAGATAAGAGCACCGCCTTACAGAACCTGGAAAGAACCCCACGAAGATGACATAAGGAGACACTGGGGAGAGTCCATGGAAACAGTAGAGTGATTCCCAGGGGGAGAGTGGCAGGACAAGAAAAAGCAGTTCAGTAATAAACCAGGACAAAGCTGAGGAAGGACATGAGTAAAATCTTCTTAGTGAGGGAGGGTAGTAGGTCTACAGCACCCTCACTGGGAAACTGTGAGATGGTTTAGATATTTTCTAGGTTGGAATACCAGAGAATCCTATTCCATGATGGAGTAGGGCCAGATGAGCCCAAAGGTCTTAAAAGCCTTGTCTAGGAATATGCATCTAGTCACTCAGTGTTTGCTATCTGCCCTGTTTTTTAGGGTTATCATGAATACATTGATGAGAACCTCCCCCCAGAGAGCCCATACCTTTATGGGCTCCACCCCAATGCTGAAATTGGCTTCCTCACTGTCACTTCTGAAAAGCTTTTCCGTACAGTTCTGGAAATGCAGCCCAAGGAGTCTGATGCTGGAGGAGGGACGGGTGTGTCCCGAGAGGAAAAGGTAGGAAACGTTTCTGTCCTTCGGTACTAACCAGGAAATAATCTGCTACGGCCACTGGTTTGTTCTTGAAGAAACAAACACACCAAATAAGAGGAGGCTCCATACTGTAATAGCCCCATTTCCCACCAGTGAAAGAACCTCAAACAGTCTCTTATGCACATTTGTGCCTCACTGCTCCTGATCAAACTCTCATTCCCAGCACTACCATGGACTAGCACAGCAACTGAACAGGGGCACTCCTGTTAGAGCTTTAGAGGGTTGCAGCCTCCTGCATTATTCTGTAGGGCAGGAGAGAGAGGAAATGGTTAATTTCTCTGGCTTCCTTTTTTCAAAGCGACATCTCCTCCTCCAGCTGCACTGGCTGGCAGCCACTTCCCATCGCCTCAAGTCCTGCACCCAGCTTTGCATGAGCCCTAAGGCACCTGGGAGCTGCTCACCCCCACCGCCAGGGGATAAAGAGACAGTGGGACCAAAGAATTTCCAAAGCACATTAGCCACCCTGCCCCTTGGATCCGGAGTTGTACTAGTGGGGTCCTGCAGGGATCAGTTCTGGGTCCAGTTCTGTTCAATATCTTCATCAATGATTTAGATAATGGCATAGAGAGTACACTTATAAAGTTTGCGGATGATACCACGCTGGGAGGGGTTGCAAGTGCTTTGGAGGACAGGATTGACATTCAAAATGATCTAGACAAACTGGAGAAATGGTCTGAAGTGAATAGGATGAAATTCAATAAGGACAAATGCAAAGTACTCCACTTAGGAAGGAACAATCAGTTGCACACATACAAAATGTGAAAAGACTGCCTAAGAAGGAGTACTGCAGAAAGGGATCTGGGGTCATAGTGGATCACAAGCCAAATATGAGTCAACAGTTAACACTGTTGCAAAAAAAAAAAAAAAAAGCAAACATCCTTCTGGGATGTATTAGCAGGAGTGTTGTAAGCAAGACACGAGAAGTAATTCTTTTGTTCTGCTCCACGCTGATTAGGCCTCATCTGGAGTATTGTGTCCAATTCTGGGTGCCACATTTCAGGAAAGATAGGGACAAATTGGACAAAGTCCAGAAAAGAGCAACAAAAATGATTAAAAGTTTACAAAACGTGACCTATGAGGGAAGACTGAAAAAACTGGGTTTGTTTACTCTGGAAAAGAGACAACTGGGGGGACATAACAGTTTTCAAGTATATAGAAGGTTGTTACAAGGAAGAGGGAGAAAAATTGTTAACCTCTCAGGATAAGACAAGAAGCAATGGGCTTAAATTGCAGCCAGGGCAGTTTAGGTTGGACATTAGGAAAACTTCCTGTCTGGGTGGTTAAGCACTGGAATAAATTGCTTATGGAGGATGTGGATTCCATCACTGGAGATTTTTTAACAGCTGGTTGGACAAACACCTATCAGGGATGGTCTAGATAATACTTAGTCCTGCCTGGAGTGCAGGGGATGGGACTGGAAGACCTCTCAAGGTCCATTCCAACAGTTCTATGATTCTAGCACCACGCCTGTAAAATAATTAATATTACTAGTGATGTGGGGAGTTTGCTCAGTTACTGTACTTTGAGATAGGTGGCAGAGAGTATTTATGGGCTGATTATGAGCAGGTGACATTTGTAACCATAAAAATGAAATGCAGGCAGCTGCTACAACTAATTTTCCCGAGAACACTCTGTCTTTAAGGCTACATTCCACTTCTTTGTTGAGCTCTGCTGATATCCCTTTGGCTGCCAGTAAACAGGTCTGTGGCGTGTACAACCACACAAAGGATATAGTCACAGAGTGGGCTGTCTGCTAATCAGGCAGTGCGCATTGCAGCCATTCCCCTGGGTGAGCTGAAAGGCTTCTTGTGCTGGGTTCTTGCTGTACCATGCCGCTCGTTCTCGGAGTCATGGGAGCAGCACCAGCTTCGTTACAGGAGCCCCTTCAAGCCCTGATGGTTTTGAGAGCCGGCCTGTGCAGGGGCAAGTCCAGCGTTGCCCAGTTTGTGCTCTCTTGATTCTAAGGCTCTGGTGGACTCTATGGGCCAAGTTCATTTGGACAATTTAATTCTAGGCTATTAAACATTAGTGAGCTTCTTTCAGGAGACAGAAAATGTTAAATCAATGGAAGAATGACATTTAACATGCTGTGTCAAAGCTCTTAATAGAATTTGTTCCCTTGCTAAAGATGTTTGATGGTGTTACATATTACAGGTCAAACAAGTCCTAGATGAAATCATGGACAAGCTACCCGAGCCATTTAATATGTTGGAAATCATGGCTAAAGCAGCAGAGAAGACCCCGTATGTCGTGGTAGCCTTTCAGGAATGTGAAAGAATGAACATCTTGACAAATGAAATAAGACGCTCTTTGAAAGAGTTAAATTTGGGGCTGAAGGTGTGTGACATTGATACTGTTTTACACCATGGTAGTAACTTAGGTAATGTTGTTTGGTTTTTTTTCAATATACCAGCCTTTACAAATGAAGTCAATGGAACTAAATGTTCAGTTCAGGTTTGGTACCAAGGTAATGTGAGCTGTTGGATTACTATGAGTCTCTCTTCTTCTGCCACTAACTACAGGGTCATTGTAAGGCAGCCAACACTCCTCTTTCCTTCATTTTGAAGCCTGCAGGTTTGTTGCAGCCTAAAACCTGAGTGAGTGTGTGCACATGCACAAAGGTATAAACACATACACCGAGGGAGACTGAGCTGGATTGCAGAGGGGATGATGGGGCAGTTGCTTCTGCTGATACAGCCTGTCTTACATGTGGCTTTACAATGCTGATCTAAGGACTATGTCCCAGTTGCCTAAAATGCTGGCTTGTTTTGAAAAAGGCTGCTCTGGGTCCCTGCAAATACGTATTGGGGGAGAAATCTCTAACAGGAATTTGAACTCCCTTGGACTTGCTGTAGAGCCCCAGGTGTAAGGGATGGGGCCCTCTCTGTTGGAGAAGACTAAAGACAGAGCTGGGGAATGATGGAAAATGCCCTGTTTTTCAAAAATAGGCACTGCTCCCTGTCAATAAACCAAGCTACAATGTTCACAACTCCAGAAACAGTTGCTGAGCCCCTTGTGACTGATGTGCAGTGTGCCTAGAGCTTTGCTCTCAAAGGGGGTTCCAACTCAATGAGTCAATTCTTGTTTAACTAAATCATGGTTCTTTTCCTTTCAAAGGGTGAGCTGACAATCACAACAGACATGGAGGAATTGTCTAATGCTCTCTACTATGATAATGTGCCTGAATTCTGGACAAACCGGGCCTACCCCTCCTTACTTGGCTTGGGAGCCTGGTATGCTGACCTACTGCTTCGGGTCCGGGTGAGTCCACTCACCTCCAGCCTCTCTTCACGGTACTTTGTGTACGGCTCTTTGTGGGCCAAAGATCTCTCTTCAGACTATTGCTCATGGAACAAATATTGTCGTCTGGCCAGGGCTGGGCATATGAAGATGCTCTGAATTGCTTGCAAGGATCTAAGTGTATGTACTAAAACCCTTCTCAGTAGCTCAGGAAATCTGAGCTTGCTTTTCAGGATCCTGGGATGCAGAGATCCCCATGGCTTGAAAGCACAGTGCTGAACTAAGAAGGGCTAAGTGTACATAGGAGCCAGGGCTACATCTTCATCCTTCCGTGCTGAAGCTGAGGTTCTAAAGAGATGGCAAGCCCCTCTTGCCTCAACTTGTGCCTGGAATTCAGGGCTTTTGAAGAAGCAGGGAAGGTGGAGAGGGACTCTTTTCTCTTAAATACACAGTTAGTATTACAAACCAGGGTGGTAGGTGCCAAATAGTCAAGTCCAGTAAAGGGCAAGTACCCTAATTCTAAATCTGTAATCTTCATTGTAAATTTGCCCTGATTCTAGCATTTAATGCCCAGCCACTTAATGGAGCTGCATCAGTACAAACCCCAAAAGGTAGCTCTTGAAAGCTGCACTTTGGACCAACAAAGTTTTTGCTTACATGAAATGGCCATGAGCTTTTCTGGTGCAAAGCACAACCTTCTTCACCTGCACTTGAGGTTTGCAGTGGTAGCAATGGCTGCAACTGATGCAAAGCCTCACTGAAGACAAAGCCTTCGTTTTTCCAAAGAGTCTCAGCTTGGTCCCCTCTCCCTGGTGACTACCATGTCCACCTGCAGCATCGCAGACCCAAGAGGGGCTCTGCTGAGATAGGGTTATTCTTTGGAGACCTACTCCAGGTGTTTGTCTGCCACATGCGATTACTTTCACAACTTGTCCCTCCTGAAGTCACAATCCGCTGAAGACTGGGGGCCTAAATCAAAGAGGGGCTGTAAAGACAGTTCTCCCAAAATGGATTACAGGAGTAAATGGAGGCACAAGTCTCATGTATCATGCCAGTTCAAGAGATGCACCACAGCCTGTGTACTTGGCTTTAAACTGCTGCTGCTTTATTTTTCAGGAACTAGAGGCCTGGACGACTGACTTTGCACTACCCACAACAGTGTGGCTGGCAGGCTTCTTTAATCCCCAGTCTTT